CTCTCCTGAAATCGACACCTCGCTTCAACACGCCCATTTCTTGGGTCCAGAAGTTTCTATTTTTATCTTATTGGTGGGCTCCCTGAATATTGGAGGTTGAAATGGCTTAACTATACCATGTTAATACCTAATTGACTGAATTTACAATTGTATGGATAATTTTGAGACTCAACTGAACTTACAAGTAACCCTACACCTTCCTCTTGTGACTCCGTTACAGCAACACGGGACAGATTAATCAGTCTCATTTAATTTATTCTTATAGCTTGGAAAGTCCATCTAAAAACCAGCTATTTGATCCATTATTAATTTCCTCACAACATTCTAACAACTTATTTAAATATCTTGGAATTCCTACGTCTTTTCGCGCGTTAGAAATATCGATTTTTCCGTTAACCATGGGCTGAACCGACGCTGTTAGTCGATACCAGATGCAACACATGGCCTCGATGATCTAAGTCTACTTGTTCAAAATCATTGCTAAACTTCATGAGGCCTTCTCCGAAGGACGGCAATAGTCGAGCTTTGCAAAGACCCCGCACAAAACTTGTGGAAAATTGCCGTTCGGTCAATTTTAATGAAATTTTGGGAATAGGTTGTGTTTGTTATGAGGAACAAAAGTCTTCATGGACCCAAAATTCGCTAATGGACAGTTTCCGAGATATTCGATGTTAAAAGTTGATAATGCGAATGCGTGTCAAGCACGTGTTTAAATGCTTATTAGTCGCGTAAAAGCTCCATGAAGCTTAAAAACTGTATAATACGTATATATTCGTCTTGATAGTGCGTATCCATTCGTTTGTGTGTGTGCGTGTGCGTGCGTGTGGGTGTGCGTATGTGTGTGTTAACTTAATTTAACCATTCTTCTCGATCAATTATATATTTTATTTCAGTTATTAGCGTATGATTGAAAACAATGTAATGATTGTATTCAAAGTAACACCCAAGATAGAGTAGTCGAAACAACTTTAGGATACAGTTTCTCGCTTGTTTTTAAATCAGTATTTCAAAATATATATCGAAAAATAGGGTGTTTTCAAATATTCTTATTTTATTAGAAAAATTATATTATTATGAGTATTTCAAATATTTAGAATGTTGAAAAATATCAGTTTCGTTGGACTTATTGTCAAATAGTTCTTAATCGATATTACTGTTCAATTACCATTCACTTGCAGTTTTTACTGTGTTATACACTCGATATTGCTTTGGTCATTTTTTCATAGGTGTGTTCATTTTGTAATTAGCAATTCAGCTTGTTGCAGTATAAATGGCTTTCAGATTACAAATTCAACGTTATAGTTGCGATCGGGATATGGTACATTTAAATAGAGTGGTAAATGTAGATGTTTTTGGAGATATTGCTATAAATCGACGAAATGACGCAGGTCTCCCTCCAGCAATTGTTACACCTGAGACTCGAATATGTAATAATTGCTCTATCTATTACTTCAATTTCACGACGAATAGTTTGGAAGCAATTATTACATATTCGAGTCTCGGGTGTAACAATTGCTGGAGGCAGACCTGCGTCATTTCGTCGATTTATAGCAATATCTCCAAAACGTCTACATTTACCATTACCACTCTATTTAAATGTACCATATTTCGCGTGGCGAAAGCCCGATTGCAACTATAACATTGCATTTGTAGTATGAAAGCCATTTATATTGCAACAAGCTCAACTGGGTGCCTGGTGGGTAAACTGATGACAAACGATCGTAGCTGTTGCACTAGGTGTTGCGAGTATAATTCAATGCCGGTAGGAGCAAATAGCTCTCGGAGTAGTTGTTTCTCGCAGCACTGACAAGTCAAACATTGTGTTACGCCCTCTGTGGGTGGCAGTCGTGCAACAAAGTACCTGCAGTTAGCAGGTCGCTTCCTACTGTAGCCATTTGAATGGCACAGTTGAGAGTCCGCACAACAGATGGAGCCATTGGCTCCCGCGTATAATGTACGACGTAATACATGATCAGTTGGCAATAATTCTTGTGTTAACTGTACTTTGCAAGCCCTTAAATAATTCCAAATACTGAATAAAGTGGTTTGTTTAATGCCTAATTGATGTATAGTAAACGATGACGAATTGATGTGTTTGATTCAGCAGCGACACTTTCATGACAACTACAATAATTTCTTGTGAACAACCAGTACGACTGTAAATTTTACTTCTTTGATCTTGAATTGAACCAGTTCAAATTTATTCACAATATTTAGAATGGTGCTATTTGTAAGACAATTCGTTTTTCCATATTTTGTAGGATATTTTCTTACAACTTATGCATAACTTTCACCAAATTTAAAATAATTGTTCACAATAAGACCGGTTGTTCAATCGTATACTTCTCCATATTCATTAACCGCCATGTTTCTACTTAACAGCTGTCAAAAAAAACAAAACCATTATAGTACAAAAAACAAAAATGGCGGCAAATTTAAAAAGTTAACTCATATTTGAACACCCTTTATTTATAAATAATATAACTGATGCATTAGATGTGCACTTAAACCTTAGAAGACTAGGATAACAATTTAGACCAATTATCTAGATGCTACATAGAAAATAAGTTACCAATCAATGCTTCAAAGTGTAACGTTGTCATCTACTCGCAAATTATCTTAATTTTAAATTATAATTTAAATAACAAACTTACAAAGACCAGCCACGTTCCTGGATCTCGGTGTTATCTTCGATCCGAAACTTTTTCCTCGCATATCGCAACTACTGCCGGCAACGTAGAAAACTGGGTTTCATTGTACAAAGTAGCCGCGATTTTATTGACATAAATTCTTTGAAAATTTATCACTATGCTTTTGTTTGAAGAAAACTTGAATAAGCATCACTTGTTTGGTATACCGTTAACAACTAATTAGATATTTTTGTTAGTTACTCAATATAGAAATAATAAATGCCAAGTGTTCTGTATATATGTATAAATAAATACCCTGTAGTGTTAATTTGTAATAAGGTATTTTAGACAACAGATCGCAAAAAAGAATAATGACGTATGCAGGTTTTTCACCAAATGATAAATCAGATTGTTTTAAGCAAAAGGCTTCATATGAACTGTTTATAGTTCGCTTCGTTTTGGAGATACAGGATGTTGAAGTTAGAAAAAATAGTAGTAATGGTTTTTATTAGGTATAAATGGAATTTCTAAAAAAAAATATCTTACATTTGGAGAATTAATCGTTTTAAAGTAGATTTTTTTATATTGAAGTGCGTTTATAACACAGTTAAGAAAATCGAAAATATTCCTAAAACTATTCGTCCAATAATAAAACATTATGGCTATTTCTCGACAGAAATACAACTTTAAATACAATACAGTGTATAAACAATTCAAAAAAGTATTATTATAGAAATTTTTAGGAGCTACCGCCTTAGTAAATTTAGAACTTCTACATCAATGATTTTTTGAACATTTGCCACATTGCGTTGAATTTAAAATTAAATTGTATTTTTAACAAAAAGCAAATAATTTTAGAGTTACTTTATTTAACTCTGTTGTAATCCCACTTTAATATAAAAAGATCACACCTCTAAAACATCTCGTTCTTCGAACAATATGTAAGATATATTTATAATGTATTAATACTCATACTTATTTTTAATTAATATTAATTTTATTGATACAGGGTGGTCCCATAAGTCATGGTACATAGAGCAACAACAAATTCTACAAACTAAAATATTAAAATTTAACCAAACTTATCTTAGTCCAAAAGTTAATACTTAAAAAAAAAATAAGAGACGTCAGATTAATAAATTTGTTATCATTATTTTTAAATAAGCATTCCATATTACGCACATTTTGGGGATCGGAGGTTCTTTAAGGCGACGAATTCAAATCCGATCGTAATTTTGCTGTCACTTAGTAAAGGGCGCCACTTGCGAGACTTTACATGCTCCTAAATGCCATAAGTTTCTGCATCTCTCTATATCTGCCTCTTAGATATTTATATTTTTCTTATTATCCTATCCTTTTTACTCAAAAATTGTATACCTTGCAAGTGTCGCTACGAGTAAATATTTTCGAGATATTGTCCTTTAAAATTTCGAAATAAACGGAAATCACTTCCAACAGTTGTTAAAAATATATATTTTTTTATTAATTGTTAATTATTTATATGTTGTTATTTATTTCGTTGTTTTTGTATTATTTTTTATTTAATTTATTGTTTTCTTTCTTTCTTATTAGCATTTTAATTTAATAATTCAAAAAGTCTAAAAAATATATTTTATAATACTCTTTCCTTCACTCTCAATTATTCTTTTTTTTACGGTTGCTAAGTTTGAACATCTTTTATAAATTTTGTTTTTCAAAGCCTACCTTGGAAAAGTATACATCTCTATACCAAATGATTTAAATTCTTTGCATTAGAAACTTTAAAGGAATATTACGAAAATTTTTCCACAAACGCTACATAATATTAATCATAGATATTAATATATTTTTTGTTACAGGATATGAGGAAAACAAGGCGACATAAATACCTCCAAATATCAGTATTTTTTTTAATCTACTCCATAATCCACATTGTGTCCAGTTCCACCCACGAAAAAGGCCAAAGCCAAGACAATGACAAATTTAAAACAAATACAGGTGGTAACTCGTCGGTACTTATACAACAAAACAATACCAGTCCGGAACATCATAATTCTACTGGCAAATCCGACATCTTAGACAAGAACCTAAAGGAACACCACCAACACTTGGTTAAAGTGATGACGGAGGATGTTCATAGTGCAATGGATGGTTACAAACTTACGAACGAATCCACCAAAAACTCGGCAAACAGTTCAAAGCACCGCACTGATATTGCCGAACATGTAGGCAAACAATTACACTCCATTCTTGGGGGGAGTAATAAAACCGAAGTCAGTGGACCCCCTGGAAATCATAATTCTACCAAAAACGTTACGGTTCACCACCATGTAGGTGAGACGATGTTAACTCATTTGCACGGAACTTTTGGAGGAGGAGGGGGTTCTTCAAATGGGACCACTCATGCCCCAGAGGTAGAGAACACAACAAATCAGGACTGTACCCAACCGGCTATAAAACAGGTTAGTTTCAAACATTGATACATTCAATAACCAGAAATGGCATATAAATGTAATGATACACTTTTTGCTTTTAACCAATTAAAAATGCATGTACACGATGTTTTTTATGTCCATTATATGATTTCAGGAGATTGTTCTTTGGATCGTTTTAGATCAATCAATTAAAAAAATTCAATTATTAATATTTGAAGGAATCTACATCAAATTCCTCCAGATTTATTAAAGTTATTTAAAGGAAAAAAGTATTTTGTAAATTGGATAAAGCATCTTATAATTGCTGGCGTTCGTCGAAGAACGAACTATTTTAGAGTTATTTTTTTATATTTAAAATAAACATCATAATACAATTAAATAAATATAAAATATTCCTATTATTATCTGGTTATGAGAATAGTAAAGGAGTAGGTATAGATCACAGAAAATGTAAAATTTCTGCGTCAATATTTGGTCTGGACTTTTAAACAAAAAATTCTTTTTGTAAAAGTAGTTGCAAAAATATACAGGGTGCGGCATTAGTGCGTCGAAGTACGATATCTCCTTTATTATAGAAGATATCAAAAAAAGTTATTTACAAAAATTGTAGCCAACTTAAAACTGTACATTTTAAAATTATTTTCGTATATCGTATACCAGAGTGAACCAATGGGACACCCTATATATTATTTCAAATTTAGATTAAGCTCATCTCTCCCATGCTTCCAATATAGGGTTTAATTATGTTATACAGGGTATTTCAAAAGTTATGGTCAATTGTATACGAGAATCATTCCCACTTCTGCGTCCTGTATACCCTAAACAGAACAACTTAACAATAATTTTTTGCAGGCGTAACTTTTTGATATTGGTACAGTTTTACGAGAAAGTGCTATTTCTTTATTATTGCAACAGTTGAATATAGGGCGAGCCAAAATTCAAGCACATAATTTTCTCAATTTTTTTAAATGAATCACCCTATATTTTATTTTAAAACCTGAAAATACATTTAATGTTCTTTCATTTTTATAAAGCATTCCGTATAGCTAAATCATTATTTCTGAGATATTTACCATTTAATAACAAAAAGAGAGTTTTTATGAAAATCCTATTATAACAAGTTGGCTGTGGGCAAATGACAGTGTGAAAAATTGTTATAAAACATTACAAAATATCCGTTGTTACGACGAAATTCTTATAATATTAACCAACTTGTTATAATATGAATTTTTTAAAAACTTTATTTTTGTTATTAAACGGTAAATATCTCAGAAATTAAAGATTTAGCTCTAGGGAATGCCTTATAAAGATGAAAGAAGTTCAAATGCATTTTCAGTTTTTAAAATAAAATACAGGGTGATTCATTTAAAAAAATTGAGAAAATTATGTGCTCGAGTTTTAGCTCGCCCTATATTCAACTGTTGCAATAATAAAGAAATAGCACTTTCTCGTAAATCTGTACCAATATCAAAAAGTTACACCTGCAAAAAATTATTGTTAAGTTGTTCTGTTTAGGGTATACAAGACGCTGAAATGGGAATGATTCTCGTATACAATTGACCATAACTTTTGAAATACCCTGTATAACATAATTAAACCCTATATTGGAAGCATGAGAATGATGAGCTTAATCAAAATTTGAAATAATATATCGAGGGTATCACATTTAAAAAATAGTATGTTTGGTTCACCCTGGTAATACGTAACACCCTGTATATACGAAAGTAATATTAAAATGTGCAGTTTTGCACAGTTTTTGTAAATAACTTTTTTTGATATCTTTTATAATAAAGGAGATATCGTACTTCGCCGCACCCTGTATAAAAAATAATAATTTTTATAATAATCTTTTCTCTTACCTCTAGCTAGATTTATCATTTTTATCAGTGTAATAAAATGTTTTAATATTGAAATTATAGAGCACAAAACTGTGTTTCACATCAATTCGACTTTTACTTAATTTTTCAAATTAGAAATATTATTAGGCCACTGTTTCTAGTGACGAATTTTTGGCAGATGTTTTACAGACAATTATAAACAAATTTTGTATTCAGTTGTGGATGCCAAAGTGGCACAGCAACTTTATTGATGATCCATAAAAAGTTATACAGGGTGTTTTGGAAGAAGGTACCATACATTCAGGAACTGAGAATATTAAAAAAAGGATGTTTTTTATAAACTCTGCACATATCGGTTTTTATTTATTGGATGCAGTCCATCAAAAATTATATTTTAAAATCATTTTAGTAATTTTTTTTTCCAGAAACTAATGGAATACATTTAAATTTGGTTTATTTTTTTGAAGGTGCTATGTCTTGCGGTACTAAATAAATCAGTATTGTAAGTTTTCAATCATCTGCTAGACATCGTTAGCTGTTACATTTATTTGTGATATTTTATGATATAGGTACCTAACTCTTTTGAGGTTAAATTCCTTATAGTGTATATGTCCAGAAACGAATAGGCCATACCTTAAAGACAACCTTTAATGAAAATAAACCGACTGGGACCAAGTAAAATTTTGCTTTTTTTAAAAAAAAAACGGCCTTAATTTTATTTACTCCATTTCAACTAAATATTTATTAATATGTATTTTTTAAGAAGCAAAATTAAATTAAGGTACCTTGGTATAAAATGGTTTATTTTAATTCAAAGATGCTACCCAATGTTATTTTAGACATTTCAATAAGTATCGACATAGGAAAATCTTGTATATTAAGTAAAAGCTGGTTAAGTTTGACACGATCCATTGTATTTTTCTCAAAAACGATGCTTTCTCAGCAAATGTNTATATATTAATTCAAATTTAGATTAAGCTCGTCTCTCCAATGCTTCCAATATAGGGTTTAATTATGTTATACAGGGTATTTCAAAAGTTATGTCAATTGTATACGAGAATCATTCCCACTTCTGCGTCCTGTATACCCTAAACAGAACAACTTAACAATAATTTTTTGCAGGCGTAACTTTTTGATATTGGTACAGTTTTACGAGAAAGTGCTATTTCTTTATTATTGCAACAGTTGAATATAGGGCGAGCCAAAATTCGAGCACATAATTTTCTCAATTTTTTTAAATGTATCACCCTATATTTTATTTTAAAAACTGAAAATACGTTTAATGTTCTTTCATTTTTATAAAGCATTCCGTATAGCTAAATCATTATTTCTGAGATCCTATCGCCCTATATTCAACTGTTGCATATTGTTAAGTTGTTTTTTTTAGGGTATACAGGACGCTGAAATGGGAATGATTCTCGTATACAATTGACCATAACTTTTAAAATACCCTTTATAACATAATTAAACCCTATATTGGAAGCATGGGAGAGATGAGCGTAATCTAAATTTGAAATAATATATAGGGTGTCCCATTTAAAAAATAGTATGTTTGGTTCATCCTGGTAATACGTAACACCCTGTATATACGAAAATAATTTTAAAATGTGCAGTTTTAAGTTGGCTACAATTTTTGTAAATAATTTTTTTTGATATCTTCTACAATAACGGAGATATAGTACTTCGACGCACTAATGCCGCACCCTGTATATTACAATTATTAAGCTGTGTGATAAGTTTGTTTTAAAAAAGCTTTACAAAATTATTTTTCAAAGATAAATCGTTTTCGAAGAAATTGGGTAATACATACTTCTTTCTGAGAAATAATATTGCTATTAAAAAATGCACTATCCATTTTATAAAGGCGTACAAATTTTAATAGACGAGTTGATAGACTAGTTGACATATTTGTATACTGTTTTAACAGATTTTTGCCTTTAACTAATGATATCCTTAACTCAAGATTCATTAATCTAAGTCGAAGTACTATTTGAATGAAATTATTATACTTACAAAACATCTATATGTATATCTATATTAAGATTAATTTATTAATAATAACCGAAATGAACATCAGGGCGGGCCCATGGGTTTTAATAGCGGGTCCGCCCCTACAGAGTCTAGTCCGAGAACAACAAGAGCCCGTCAAAGATTCGTAGTTAAGGCTAAGGAAGTGAATGATAATTCTGTAACTGGCAGCGGTCAGGTACACAGGTCACGACATAATAATCCTAAAAACTGTCACACTTTAAATATTAGCAGGGAAAACCTTAAATCCAGTACTGTATATCTTAAATGAATGCAATATTAACGGTTCAAATTTTTTCATAAAATACAATCCATGAATATTATTGCCTGTATGCTAAGGAAATATGATAAATCTCCTAAAAGTGGCGCATTTGGCCTACACTGTATACATATTTAATTTATGAACAAATATTATCCAATCCAAATAAAATATGTATAGAATATCATTAATTAAATGATAAAAACTTCTAAAAATATAAGCCAATTATTCTCCTATCAATGAGTTACTTTCTTGATATCATTTATCAATACTGTATTTAGCTTTCACAAAGATAATAGAAATCAATATTGAATGACAATGCGAGAATTATATTGTTCCTGTGCCTGTGTTCTCAACATAAATTCACACGTAAAGCTAAATTCGGGGAAATAGGCTAGTTTTTAAGATTACGGCTGAACTTTTCTGTATATAAGTAAATAAACCTATAGAAAATTCTTTGGTGTGAATAAAAAAGTAGTAGATTTGAAGAATTGACCTTTCCTTTAACTTTATCATGAAATTTCTTGTTAAATTAATTTTTCCTTTTACATAGTCATACAAAAATCAAAGTTGAAATATTTCAATTTTTAAAGTTAATTACTGAATTTTCTTTAGGGCTAAAAATCATTTCTACTCAGCACGATGGCAGTTTTCTGTAGGCGTTGTTGTTGCTATAAAAACTTTGTCGCTGTGATTCGTAACACTCAGATCTTGTGTCCCATTGTGCATGCCGCTAGTAAGAGTTTCAAACATGCTCATGGTACGTGCGAAGACAAACACTAGATCTATTGAAATATCTCTGATGTCCTGGGGGAGTAGAAATATTGCTGCCCCTAGGTATCTGCGTCTTCTCACCAAGAAACAAACACAGTGACAGAGAATATGTATGGAATCCTAGTCCT